GCTCTCTCTGCTTGGCTCCAGGAAGGACTGGTTTGCCTTGTTAATTTGACTGAAACACCCCACTCCACTTGGCAGGTTACACTACCCGGTAAAGCTCCCATTTCTCTGCACACTGAGCATCCCAGGCAAGCTGAATTCTTTTTTTAACCCTGAAAATAATCATCATTTTGATGTGTGCACGTTGCCTGTGAGTTTTCTGTTACAGTTTCATTTCGTTCCACCTGTTTCAAGGGGATTTCTTAAAACCATTTTTCCCATCTTTTGATGTATGTGGAGTGGAGACTTTTACTTTGCTTCAGGCCCATTTTTAAGCCTGTCTTCGTGTGTAAATAAAACACATGAAGTGATATGCCTGAATTGCTCTTCCAAACTTTCTTCCTTGTTTCCAAATCCTGTTTTAACAGCATTTTTTTTGGAGAAATGTCTTTTTGTTACCTAAAGAAACCTCAGAAAAACCCATAGAGGGAAACTGCTTGGAAAGTTTTCTGCTGGCATGTGATAGGTGTTGATGGTAGAATTGGAAGGTTCTAGATGTCGTCCTTTCTGGTAAGAGGAGGTTTTCATTCTTGTTTGTGACTAACATATATATATATATATATATTCCAGTTTCTGTGCAGTTTTAAGTCCTGTGTAGTGCGGGTTTGGCTGTTACCTGGAGTCTCTGTCAAGCAGAGGAGAATACTTCAAAGAATGGTTTCACAAGTTCTTCCAGACTGTATTTTTTTGTATGGTGAAATTGTTTCATGTGATCCTCTTGTTTCATTTTCCTCTTTTCTTTAGCACCCAAGGCATCTGCGGTCAGCGAGCTTGCCCCTGCAGACACCAGACCAGCATGGGTGAGGAAAGATCAGCCTCACACACAGAAGCAGTTTGTCTTTGAAAAGCCATCAGAGGTAAAGGGTACACAGTAACTAGCAGAATCTCATCCTTTGTTAAACCACAAATGTTCAAAATCATCAGACTTTGAGAGAGAATTATAGAACAGTTTGGTTTGGAAAGGACCTTAAGATCATCCAGTTCCAACCCCCTGCCATGGGCAGGGACGCCACACACTAAACTATGTCACCCAAGGCTCTGTCCAGCCTGGCCTTGAACACCTCCAGGGATGGAGCATTCACCACTTCTTTGGGCAACCTGTTCCAGCACCTCAGCACCCTCACAGTAAAGAACTTCTTCCTTATATCTAACCTGAACTTCCCTGTTTCAGTTTGAACCCATCACCCCTTGTCCTACCACTACAGCGCCTGAGGAAGAGTCCCTCCCCAGCATCCTTGTAGCCCCCTTCAGACACTGGAAGCTGCTCTGAGGTCTCCACGCAGCTTCTCTTCTCCAGGCTGAACAGCCCCAACTTTCTCAGCCTGTCTTCATACCGGAGGGGCTCCAGCCCCTGATCATCCTCGTGGCCCTCCTCTGGACTTGCTCCAGCAGCTCCATGTCCTTTTTATGTTGAGGACACCAGAACTGGACACAATACTCCAAGTGAGGTCTCACGAGAGCAGAGTAGAGGGGCAGGATCACCTCCTCTGACCTGCTGGTCACGCTTCTTTTGATACAGCCCAGGATATGGTTGGTTTCTGGGCTCAAGCACACACTGAAGCTGGCTCATGTCAAGCTTCTCATCAACCAACACCCCCAAGTCCTGCTCCACAGCTCTTGATCTCTTCTCTGCCTATGATAGTCTCACATTTTAAAACAATTTAAAAACTCAGCTGAGCTCAGCTTTGGGTTTTTACTAAGCAGAGTTTGCAACTGCCTTGCATATATGGCAAGCAGAAAATTACAGTCCTTTTTAGCCTCAGACTTCGTGTTTTCACTATGTACCTGTTCATAACTACTTTTTTTTCAGCAAGCCAAAAGAGTATGTTCTCCTAAATATTCAGAATGATGCAAGGGTTTGAACTCTTTGGTTTTTTCCCCTCAGTTGGGATATCTGTCTTACTTGTTACAGGGGAAGAGGATGGGGTTTGTTTTCTAGACAGTGTTTGAAAGGCTGTCTTCTTGGCCTGGAAGGATTGTAGATGGTTTGGGAAGATTCTCCTTTCCCTGTGGCAGAGCTCTGGTATCGATGCAGTTCTATATTTTGACCCTTTTGCTTGCTCAGCTCAGAACCTCCTTGCATCTCAGCACTCCACTGAGCTCCGAGAAGAGAAGCATAAATCCCTGAGACAAGCAGAATGATAATCCAGGCTGGATTAAACTGCTGTGCTTGGTTTTTGTTCTAACTAATCCCAGCTATCTCAAGATGTGCAGACAAGTGTCAACCCCTGATGTCTGCTCTGTCTTGTGTTTTGCTCATTGTCTGGGGCCTGGGATTTGTTTGTCCCTCCTATAGTTGCTCTAGATTTTTACTTCCAAATGTAAGGATAAGATTTTGGGGGGGTTGCAGTTGATAAATAGCAAGTATTGTAATAATCCAAATAATTTAGAAATGAATGTCCTTTAGGGGGCAGTTGATTGTTAAAAATCACCTGCAGGAATAGCTGCATTTAGGAGTTCCTGGGGCATAGAGGGAGTCGTTGGGACATGACTGCTTACCGAGTGTCCAGAAGTCTGTTTTTCTCACTGACATATCAGTTTGCAGCTACACAGAGTCACTAGAGATGGCAAATAGTTCTGTTTGACTAGAGCATGGCAGGTACTTAAACGTTTAATATTCACCATCTATTGTCTTGTTCCCTTTCAGGTGGAGCGTAGGGTTCCTGAGGCAGGTGTGATAGAGTGAGTATGCTGCTGATGTAACTGTCCTTGTGTTGGTTTTCTGTCGTGTTGGGAATCCACTGGAAAAGAATTCCTTCTCCACTTACCATTGCCATGCCTTTGGAAGAAATGTCAGGAGAAAACGTGGACTTCCAGCCCTTTTATCCTGAACTGAGTTGGTAATTGGGAGAGTCCAGTTCTGTGCTAAGGAGTTTTTGTAGATTTGGTGTAGCTTTATAAGCCAATGGAAGAACAAACAATTGGACATTCTGGACCAGCAGAACTGCAGATATATCTCTTTTGGTTAGCAATGTATGTTTTCATAGGACAGTCCCTGTGTAAATTATGCTGGAGGTTACTCTTATCCAGGAATACAGCTGGTATGGCAACTCAGGCAGCACTTCCTTTGAAGGTTTGGAAAAGTAGCTGCTAGGAAGTGTCATAGTGAAGCTATTCATAGATCACTTACCCTTTGTGTCAAAACGGGGATCGTCTCAGAATAGCTTTGTCATGAAGTGTGGTAATGTGTGGTTAAGTTACAGACTTTGGAAATTAAATTTGCTTCAGTTTGGTTATCTTTAGGTAGAGTTTTCTTACTCAGTGTGCCTATGAACATAAACACAGTGGTCAGCGTGCAGTCTTGCTTGGTTGTTTCCTTTAAATTCCCTGTGACATCCCTCGTTTACTCATCTCTAGCACCCTAAAACTGTGTATTGAGCCTTTGGTGAAATGAGAGTGAGAGGCAGGAAGTACACAGAAACTCGTTTGCTTCTGCAACACCTGCCTTGCTGCATTACTCTGACCCTTTCCCTTTCCTCTCCTTTCCCCTTCCCTCCTCTCCTCAGGACATTTTCCCTAGTCCAGACTTACAGCAATTCTAGCCCATGCTGCTCAGTGTAAGATAATTTCTTGTTGTTGGGTCCATCTAATGCCTCTTTCCTTTCTACATCCTCAGCAAGCCTGGTGTGTATGAGCTCAGCAAAGTTCCAAGTGGCATTTCTAGGTAAGTGGGTGAAACTTGTTTGCTATTGCAGGAGGATGTGGTGATAATCAGCTTTCTGAAGTCTAGTCTCTGTAAGAGTGTTTTCACTCCAGCAGGTGCATATTGCCCTTTCTGTGTATCTCCTATTTAGACTACTTCTGGAAATACTTTGAGTGTGAACTTCTTAACATTTAGGGTGTACTGCATCTAGTGTTCTGGTGCAGGATAAGGAGAAGGAGCTCTGTCCATTTGTTTCATGATCCAGAGAAAGTTGCTGCTTGAAATCTGGATCAGTATTCCTGGGTTAGCAAGTGCCTGATGTCTGTTGTATACTTAAGAACTACCAAAACCTTTTAGCTGTAAATCGAACTTGTTTTAAATTAATCTAATGAAAACATTTAACTTCAGGCAGATTTGGTAACTTTAGGGTTGTGCCTTTTGCTTACATGCTATGTCTTAATTATTTCAGCTTCAAGACACTTCAGGACAAAACCTACTTGTTCCATGATTCCTGCTAACTAAAATGCACTTTATTTTACCTTGCTGACTTAGCTGCAGTGTCAGTATTAATCCTTTTCTTGTGAATTTGATAGATTTTAGTTGTAGTGGAGAAAATGCCAATGACATAGTAATTTTTTGTGCGTTTATTTCAAAGCTTTCATCTTGGTTTCTTCTAAAGCTGCAAATAAACTTTTTTATGGCAATTTGAAAAGTAGAAGATGTGACCAACTGGAAAGGGAAAAGATCAAGAGCCAGCTGAGTTATTCTGTCATTTTCTGGAGTTTGTTTGCATACTGTGTTGCTGGAATATATACATTTCTGGAAAGTCAATAATCAGATTTTGCATCTCTTTTAGTACCTTTACTATACATCCTTATTGTGATGTCTTTGAAGCATTGAATACTTGCAAGAGTAAACTCCTGTGAATGGCATTGCTACTCTTGCAGCCCACCACACTAGCTGGTATTTTTGAATGCTGTTGTTAGTACAACCAAAATGTACGTGTGAAAATGTAAAAATAGGAGAGGTTATATACTCTAGGGTTCTTGTGCTTGGAAAAGAGAGGATAGGATGGCAGTAGTGAGTGGCATGGAGATGGTAAGTAAAGGGCAATTATTTACTTACATTGATTGTAGTACCAGAATCTGGGCTATCTCATTATCTCTTCATCAGGGACTATAGTGATAGGACGGGGGCAATGGATTCAAGCTTAAACAGGGGAGATTTAGATTAGATACAAGGATAAGGAAGGAATTCTTTACTGTGAGAGTGGCAAGGCACTTTCACAGCTCCCCAAGGAAGTTATGAATGCTCCACACCTGGTTGGATGGGGCTTAGAGTAACCTGGTCTGGTGGGAGGCATCCCTGCCCATGGCAGGGGGTTGGAAGTGGGTGAGTGTTAAGGTCCCTTCCAACCCAAACCATTCTGTGATTCTGTGATTCTAATTTATCAGATGTGAAGTTAATAACCAGCAGGAGAATGCCATTTTTCACACTGTATATGGCTGACTGTGAGCCTCGTGGTCTGTTGTTGGTGTCATAGGTTTTTATATGTTTTAAAAAGCAATTAGAAATGTTTGGTGAGGAGAAGACTCATCAGAAGCTCCTGCTGCATTCTGTTCTTTACTTCACACTTGCTCTTGGTTGTGGTCAGAAAGCGGATACTGGGCTTTGCCTTTTTGTCTGATGCATTGCAGCCATTCTTAGCTCCTTCGGGAATCCTGGAGTATAGAATATTTTATCAAAGCATATTTATAAGTGTATATTCCTTCCATCATTTCTGTATCTTTTTCTTCCTTAGGATTCGTTTGGTTCCTGGCTTTATTGACTCAGAACAAGCAGATTGGATGTTGGAACAGCTCCTCCAAGACATACCCTGGGGTCAGCGAACTCACATCAGACAGGGTAAGGAGTGTGTAGACCAACTTTTCAGGTCATTCCAGGTAACTTCCATGCCAAAATCCATGCATTATTTATCACTGTTTTTTGGTTTACATATTACCACTCCTACACATTTCCTTCCAGGTTTTCAATGTCTATCTGAGGAGTACTGCTGCTTATTTTTCACTCTTACCACTGTGTTCCTGTTGCCAATTAGATGAGATCTTTCCCAATTAGAATTCCCTTAAAAGTCTTTGAATTTTACTGCCTCCTCTGTCCTCTCCAGTTCTTTTTCCCACTCTTTTTTCACATGAAGCCTCTAACTCCATCCCTTCATACTGTCTCCCAGTGATGCTGCAAAAACTGTGTTCTTTGAAGTTTCTGTCACCAGGAATGTTTTTTGCCTCTCACTTAAAATGCCAGGAGAGCATGTTTCTTTTCCCTTGTCTTTGCTTATTAGGTCCAGTATGCAGGAAGTGAAGAGGCTGCTATTCTGGATTTGTTCACTAAGGGGCATCTGTTATAGCTAAATTTCTCTTTCAGTCAGGAAAGGATGTAAGAAAATATATCAGAGTAGTTACTGGACAGGGCTGGAAAATGTCTTCAACATCTTTATTTACTGGCTTGCAATAAAGGTACCATATGATGGAGAATGTTACCTGTGAGGCATGAGAAATAGCTACCAAGATAGTCTTTTCAGAAGCTGAAAGTACTTTTAACTTGATGTTTCTATTACACAGCAGAGCACGCACGTATTTGACAAACTATTGCTTGTCCAACCTTGCTTCTGAAATGCCCCATTGGTGCTGCAGTCTTTTTTACTTCATCTTTTCATCATCTTTCAGTTTTCAAGCCCTTTGACAAAGCAGCTGAGAAAGTCTTCCTGTATTTCATTTTTTAGATCTATCTTTTGAGGAACCAAGGCTCACCTCCTGGTATGGGGAACTTCCTTACACGTACTCCAGGATAACAATGCAGCCAAACCCAAATGTATGTATATATTTACAGTTTTCCTTTATTATTGCCTACAGAGAAATCCTTTCCCTCTATCCTCTATTTTTATCTAGAGTATCAGCATTTTATTTGTGATGAGCAGCAGATTCCAGTGGACTGTGGACAACTTCCTAAAACAAGCATTATGAGTGGGTTGACTGAGAGGGGCATGATTGAGTTGCTTTTGGGTCACTGTACCTTTGGACAAAACTCCTAATTGGTCTGTGTAACCTACTCAATGCACCTTTATAAGGGAGATTGTAGTGTACACAGTCATGCTGAGGTTTTTGTTGTAAAGATACACTAATATCAGTAACTGAAACAGTTCCTTTCAGAAACACTTAAGAGTCAATACTGCTTACATGAAAGTTTAGGCATGTTGTTGATTCCTATGTGAATGCTATAAAATTCACACACAGAACCTGCCTGCTAAGCTGCTCCAGATTGTATGATGTGATTCCCCACACTGTTTTGGAAAAATAGGCATTTTTGTACTCATTTGTGCAATATTATTTTAAATGGACTTTTCTGGAAGTTTTAGGGATTGGAAGTGCCCCCCACAAGACATTCTGCTGTATAGTGATGATTTAAATCCAGTTTGGAGTTGCCTGTTGTGGAAGCTGTTGCTGCTCAGAGGTTGGATAGAGCCTAGGTACCCTGAATTCATGGTTTCAGTTCAGTTTGTGTGAAGTTCAGAGTTAGGATTCATCGGGCCATTTGCTTGTTTCCTCTCATCCAAGAGGTCCAGGGCCTAAATCAGTCATGCATGCTGATCCTGAGTAATTCTTCTTTTTACTGAGAGGAAGAAACTCCAGCAGAAAGTGAGTTGCAGCAATGAAGTTGGTGGCACAGTAATGTTTGAACAAAACTGCTTCCACTGCTGCAGGTCTGTAGTGAGGTTTCCACTGTAAAACTCACCATATGATAACATTTTTAGCAATAAATACTTTTCTGGTAGGAACTGAAGGAATCCAGTCCTAGTTGGTCACTGGAAAGTGCTTTCAGTAATGCTTGTTGGACTCTGCTGTCATTGCATTGTACATCCTGCACATTCCGGCAGCCCAGTTACAAGCTATAGCTTTCTTTTGGGTACTGTTGCTGATTT